CCCGGCAGCACCGTGGCGCTGCCAGCTCGGAGACGGCTGCAGGAGAGGGGCAGGCTCCAGCCCCAGTGCAGTCGCGGGGGCAGGGGGCGGGGCAGGCTGGTACCACGCTCCCAGCCTCCCCCAGCATCCCACACCTGCAGAGGAGCAGAGCCCCCAGCTCGCCAGCCCTGGTGCTGGGGATCTGCCTGGTACCACAGCAGCTGCCCAAAAATGGCAGAGCTTCCTCTGCCACAGGACCAGCGATGGCCACATGGTGCAGCCACTCCTCACCCCAGCTCTGCAGACAACCTGGTGCCCAGCCAGCGAGCCAAGGAGCAGGCTCTGAAGAATCAGCCCAATGGGATCATGCCCAATGGGAACCTGTGCCATGAGGGCACAAGACCCCTCTGTGGCAGCTCAGCCTGGGAGGAGGCTGAGGGCCTCCAGCTGCTCCTCTGGAAGATGCCAGATCAGCCCAGGAGTGGTGCACACGGGAGGTGCAGGCCCTGGTCTTTGGTCCAGTCCCACCCAACAGGGCAGACCCCATTGCTCATGGCCACCTCCACCTGCCCTGAGGACCCCCATGCCAGTGGGGACATATCAGGGCTAGTGACCCAATCCTGGGGTCTAGCTCAGTGGTCTCCCTCACACTGGCACCCAGCAACTCCCCCCTTGAGCCTCCCACACCAGAACAGCAGCAGAACAACTTGGAGCTGGGCCCTTCGGTCCCCCCTGGCACCTTTCAAGGCTGCTGGACCAGGGGCCCTGATGGCTGGGCAGGCCTGCCATGGCTAAAGGGGCTGAGCCATGCGACCCCCATGGCCACGCACCTGCCCCAGCTGGGGAAGCTGTACATCCCTCCTGGTGGCCTGCACATGAGCCAGGAGGTATTCCCTGCTTCTGGGCTCCCCAGGGCTCCACGAGTGGAATGAAGATGAAGCTGCAGATTCCCTGTCTGGAAGTCACACAGGCTGGACTGGGGACTCTCATCCTCTTTGGAGGGAGACGAATCCCTCCTCAAACTCCCTAAATCTTAGGGGCAGGATCAGGCCTCCATAGGGGAGGGGGAGCCCACACAGAGCTCTGCCCATCAGTGAAGAGAGCAGCACATCTCCCAGTCCAGATGCCCTCCAGCCCAAACCCTCGGCTCTTTCTGGAGGGGAGGGGAAGACACCTTCCCCGGGGGGGCTTAGCAACAGACCCAAAGCCCAGTGGGGCTCCAGAGGGTCCATGCTGGGCCAAGCCATCCTGGGGCCCCAGGAAGGACAAGGGGATGCCCTTGCCCTGGCACCCCTGACCCAAGCAGAAGGCTCTGGGCATCCCCACACCGACTGCTGCTCGGCTGGGGAGGGGGATGCCCGGCCGTCAGCCCCTCCCTGCGCGCAGCAGCGTCCGTGCTGCCACCTCCAGCACAGCTCAAGGTGCCCTCTCGCAGGGCACGGCCCGGCCCGGCTCGGCCTCCCCGCTCACTCCTGTCCCTGCCCGCGGACACTGGTCATGCTCCATCCCCGGGATGCTCCATCTCCCGGGATCCCCAGTCCCCTGCTGTGCTCCAGCCCCCCCGGATGCTCCAGCCCCCCAGGAGGCTCCAGCTCCCCCGGATGCTCCAGCTCCCCAGGATGCTCCAGTCCCCCAGGAGGCTCCAGCTCCCCAGGAGGCTCCAGCCCCCCAGGATGCCCCAGCTCCCCAGGATGCAGCCGGACGTGCAGCCCCGCGGGGTCCTGGCGCAGCCCCTCGTCCCCCGCCCGCCCGGTCTCACCTGAAG